CGTTAAGTTCACGTTTTTATATCTATATAAATATTTTTTTTATTTTATTATTTTTGTTTCACTTTTTATGAGCGAATGCGTGTGAGAGTGCCTGTGTGAAATGTCGTTTGTTTTAATTTGCTCGCCGTACGTGAAACGGATTATTTTAATTTATTTTTCACTTATTCACGTACTCGGTTTTAGCCATTCTTCGAACGCATTAAAGTGCGGTAGATTTTATTAAGATGGATTTTTTCGCCATGATGGAAATGGTAGATGCTTAAGTTTAAAATTAACATTCCAGGATAAGACCCACAAATCTTTGCTAATTTATAACATTTTCATGAAATTTATATCTTAAATATATATTATACCCACCTCTCTGGAAAGCCATAAAAAGCAGATACATAAACTTGTTTCTGGGTGATTAATGCGTCATAATTAGAATTGCGGACCGGGTACATGCATAATTCCACGTGGCAACCCTATAAATCACTCGACAGTGAGTGTGTGTGTCGTAATCTAGCCACCAAAACCGAATTCGCTGCTGTCTGTCTGTCAGAGACACTTAACTTTTGTGTTGGCAGGTTCATCGCCAAACGTTTTGCCAAGTGTCAGCACACCCACATAGATATACAGATATACAAGGATACACAAATACACTGATAGGCGTACACCCGCTCTTGGCCAAAATAAATGCGTTATGCGTGCGCTTAAGTGCTCATTAATTTGGAATGTCAAACTATGTTGACTAACGCAAATGTTCCACGTTTAATCGCTTTGAAGAGTCGACCTCGTTGTGGGCCTGATGAGCTGCTGCCACTCTCTAGGCCGCATCCCTGTCAAATTGATTTAGAAGAGCCTCATAAAAGCAGAGCCCGTAGTCCAGAGTCAAGTCTCCCACTCTATCTCCCACTCCAACTTGGCATACTATGTTTAGGACCGAAAATAGAGGCCGACATCAGGTGGAGGTATGCACGTAGCCAGGTATTTCCAATTGAGATATTTGCAAAATGCTGATGTTTAGAACACAACAAAAAAAAAATTTTAATAAAAGAAAATAATATTTAAATCTTTAAGCCATCAAGTTTCTTAAATAAAGCCCTCCAGGAGATCTTGCCTTCACAAATAATATTTGTATCTTAATGGCTTGTGTGTTTCTCTCACTGTATCTTTCAGACTCCAGGCATTGTTGGATCTGGATCTGAAGTCAGGAAAAAATCCAGGAAACCAAAAAGGGCTGTATGGGCTGTCTGGCAAAATGCAACTGGAGCCTGACGACGTGCCTTCCTTGCGGTCAGTTGTTGCATGTTGCAGGGTCTGAAGTCATTCTGCCTCTATTAGCCTGCTAATTGAAATACCAGCACCGAAAGTCGGAAACTTCCACTTTTATTGTGAACTGTTGTTGCTGGTCAGCTTGAATTTTGGTCTGAAAGGCCAATACGAAAGATGCCAAAAGTATAAATTAACTAAGAGTTCCAAGCAAAGGTAATTGAATGTTAATTAAATAGTGCACTGATTGGCGATTAAGCTTTGAGGATCTTGAAATCATCCCCGAATCCTTTTTGCAATTATCTGAATGCTTTACTTTCTGGTCCATTCAAGTTAAAAAGGGGATGGTCCTTCTATAAAGTCTGCTTTTTAAAGTCAAAAGAGTAAAGGAGTTCAAATATTCTAATTAACTTATTTATTTACCGGCTAGGGAAGCTACATACACTCGCCTTTGGCATAACCGCACACATACTAATTTTTTCAACACATCAGGACTCCTCCATCAGGATAATTATCTCACGTTCATCACGCAAAACCTTTGCCTTTGGCCTCATGTTTTTTTTTTTTTATTTTTTTCTGTCCTGTTTCCGGCTCCTGTTTACGTGCAATGCAGTCGGGATTCCATCATTAGGAATTAAGCAAAAGTCAGTGGCGGAAGTTAAGTACTTGTCAAGTGATGATGATGCCGGAGTTCTTTGCAAGGCCAAAAGTTTTTTAGAGTATGCGGGTTACTTTCCAACTCCCAACTCCCCAGACCCTGTAACTCGATTCAACTTTTGGTATGCTTCGCTTTTTTATACCCTTGCAGAGGGTATTATAATTTTGGTCAAAAGTGTGCAACGCAGTGAAGGAGACATCTCCGACCCTATAAAGTATATATATTCTTGATCAGGATCACCTCCTGAGTTGATATGAGCATGTCCGTCTGTCCGTCTGTCCGTCTGTCCGTCTGTCGTCTGTCTGTCTGTTTCTACGCGAACTAGTCTCTCAGTTTTAAAGCTATCGACTTGAAACTTTGCACACACCCTTCTTTCCTTTGCACGCAGTATATAAGTCGGAACGGCCCGGATCGGCCGACTATATCCTATAGCTGCCATATAACTGATTGATCGGAAATGGTATAACTTCGGTGTTTTTAGAGTTAGAGAGTTCAAATTTTACACGAGCGCTATTTTTGGCAAAATAATACGACATGCCAAATTTGGTAAGGATCGGCCGACTATATCCTATAGCTGTCATATAACTGAACGATCGGAAATGACCCAACTTTCGTGTTTTTAAAGATAGAAAGCTGGAACTTGGTACAGATTATATTCTTGGTCAGTTAATCCGATCTACCAAATTTCATAACGATCGGTCGACTATATCTTATAGCTGCCATATAACTGAACGATCGGAAATGGTTTTTGGTAGAAATATCAACTTTCGTATTTTTGAAGATAGAAGTTTGGGACTTTTTTTAGATTTTGTATTGTAATAAATTGGATTATATATTCCTATTCCCATAAGGATCGGCCAACTATATCCGATGTTTGCGATATATATCCGGTTTTAACTGCAAGGGTATATAAACTTCGGCTCCGCCCGAAGTTAGCTTTTCTTTCTTGTTTTTAATTCATTCTTACTGGCGGCGTTGCTGTTGCTGCTCTGCTGTTACTGCTACTGCATCCTTAAATATTTTCCCTTTAATTAAAATTTCAACAAGCCAGACTCTCTGGAACGGAGACACAGATAGAAAAAGGAATATAACCGGGAAAGGGATGGGGGTCCACGCAGACATGCCCGCATAAATTAACTTTTGCGTAGGTGACTCTGTATGGGAATACGGAGCGTGGTAAGCTGGGCGTAAGTGCCTTATCTTAATGCTCCGCCATATCTGGGGCCTAATGCATATAATAGGCCAGACCCGCTATTTAAAGTCTAACAACCCTTTTTATATGCAAATTGTTGCGCCACACGTACACGCCCCAACGCCTACGCCTACCCGTGCACTATGGGGTTTTTGACCACTTTATGTGGCATTTAATCATTTTTTGAAAGTTCTCTGATTAAAAAAAAATTAATGGGAATGTATTAAGAAAACATCAAACTATTATGCCTCATACTCAAAATATTAATTATTAGCCCCATATGCTAGCATAACAGCTGCAAAGTCAGCTGTTGCATACGAAAGCACGTGCGCTAAGTTTGCAATTTTCACATAGTGATTTGTGAAATTAGATTATTTGTTTAAAACTCCATTTAAAAAGAAAAATAGTAATGGAAACTGATTTCACAGGTTTGTACTACATGTTAAATGTATTAACTGTTTAAATTGTGCGTGTCTATACTAAAATTTTGTCATTTTGTAGATGCACCTTAAGCTGAATTTTGGGAAACAAATTTCAACTTTGGGAAGAGTTTTGAAATAGAAGGAATAAAAAGTTTTCAATGCGTCTTAGTGTATGTTGTAGCGTTGTCAATACTGAGCAAAGGCTGTTAGTCTTATTGTGCACTTTTCTCCACTATTGGTGCAATTTGAATTTTTCTTAGATAACCTCACTTTCTCCAAAAGCCGACTTGGTCGCTGCTTGGAACCGCGAAAGGGGCCGGGCTGAGCATCAAATGGCTGTACAATGTTTTTTTTTAACGACATGCAAATAACAATGTGGATAATGCCGTTTTGAAAAAAAAGCCACCAGTTTTTAATGGAAGTAATGGAAAATACGGTGCTTTCAGTCGGCTATTTTGGAGAAGAAGCGTCTGAGTCCTGAAACAAGCTGTATAAATCAGACAGGCGTCACCATTCAAGAAAACACTACCGATTACATTCCATCGCTGATGTGTTCAACAGAGCTATGGATACATAAGATCCAATTATTTCGTCCTTAATTTATCGAGATGCATAAAAAACTAAAGAGTCTTTTACTTCCAATTGAGGTAATTGAGATGCTTTCGTACGAATACGAAAATAATGTTTGTCTCGAAGATGACGAATTTAACGATTCCAGCTTGTTTTTTTTAGATAATATTGATATATTATAGAATATGAAAAAAAAGAATAATAAGATTAGTACTACTGTATGAAGGAATTTTTCTTTTTCAACTTTTATATGCATTTGTATGGAAGAACACTGAAATCCGGTATTTTAAACTGACAGTTTTCAGAGAAAGCGTTGTCCGATTTGGTTCAAAATTGCTATATCGTATTAAAATAGCAACAAATATCAGCTCCTTAAATTTCATTAATTTATCTTTACTTTTACCAAATCGTTCCTATGGGAGCTATAGGATATAGTTTCCTGATCCGAACGATTTTCATACTATATGTGCCTAGGATCAAATAATAACGATTGGTAAAGTTTCATGTCGATATCTCCAAAACTGACCGAGTTATTAATTAATGCCACAAAAACAGGTCAAAAACCCCATAGTGCCGTGGCCCTCTGTTTTTGTTTTTGTACCCATCCATCCCCAGTTAACTTGACATTTTTTTTAGATATTCCACACAGACCCGGTGAGTTTGGTCGTCGCTCTACCCTCTTTTTAATTTCCCTCATTTAAACATTTTGTGAAAAAGTCATATATATGTATAGTTTGGCAGTCACACGTGTATGGGTGAGTTTTTCCTTTGGTTGGGCGGTATGCGTGAATTACGTTTTCAACTTTTTACACGACTTCGGTGTGTGTGCCTGAGAAACGTTAAAATAATTTGCAATTTAAATAGTTTTAATTAACTTTCACTAATTTGCTGTCGCTCAACTTGCCCAAGTTGGCAAACTAATTTTAAAGTGATTTATTATTTAAACAGCTTGATGATTGGCAGCCCCGTCCCTCCTCTTACCAAAAAAATAGTCCACAGTTTAGCCAATCTGCCGGCGGCCTAATTAGCAAAAGGTGTAAAGGTGCCTTTTTGTGTCTGTGGTGGGTCCTTTGAAAAAGTGTAAATTGTGTTAAAATGCCAAAAGGATCCTCTGATTAGCTTACTCTTCATTGTCAATAATATATTAAATAGACAAACTAGGCAATGTTTTCATGTAACTATCTGGCACTCTTCGTAGAACCAAAAGCCTGTTGATAGACATCCTCCCTCTCCATAGGCATAGGTCCGATGATAGACACGAACCAAGTGCAGTCCCAGCAAGAAAAATAATAGTATTGCAATTATTAAAGCCACGGAGATGAACTCCTCTTTTCTTAGTCTATTACGGTTTCTATTATGAATAAAAAATAAAATTGTTTCCTTATTTTAAAGAGAAAGTATCTACTTACCTACATACTTTCCTGCAGGTCATAGAGACCTCCATGGCTTTGGAAGGATCTCTGCAGATGACCCGACGAACTGCCTTACAGGCTTCATTGCTCACTTTTTTCTGATATTTTGTAAAGGTTTCTGATAGGCAATGCTGCGTTCTTTCCACAATGGCCACAACGGAGTTATTAGAACAATAGTTCATTTTGGAAGTAATAATATAGTTCTCTCTTTTCAAATATGAAATGAAAGGAATGTCTACTGTTCCCACAGACACAAATTCAAAGCGTCAGATGGTAAGTGAATTACGATTATGGATTCAATCCAAGACCTCAGCATCTTAAGCGATTCAATGTCTGAGCCAAATTAATAACATTATGCAAATTTTAAAACTGGCCATAAATCAGTGCATGGAATGTGTGCCCAAAAGGCAAATAATGGCAGAGTCATTAGATAAATTTATATCGAATGCCAAACAAACGGAATCAAATGGAAAAAAAAAATAAATACAGGACAGACAGGCAAATGGCAACAACAATGATAACAACAACCACAAAGGAGATAAGGGAAAAATCAATAAAAGCGGCAAATTGAAACGGAAAATTTACAGTAATCAGCATAATATAGAAAACCGCCATTAAAATCATTATGTACCAAGTTTAATGCCTATTTATGGCTGATTTCAATTTAAGTAGCAACCCCCTCGTACCTCAGGCCTCCGATCGGCAGGCTGTCAAATGGGAAAACAAATAGAGAGAGAATACGCACAAAAATACCAAAAACCTGCTGGCGTTAATTTCCAATAAAAAGCCGCTCGGCAAAAAGTAATTAACAACAAATTACGAAACCGTAGCAAACAACAGCAATGGCAGCGGCATCGGCATCAGCATCGACCATGGCCGCCACAACCAACACACTTAGAGCTAATTAAATTTTACGCCGAGTCCCAACAAACCCATAACTGATTGTTGGCAATAACGACAACCACAGAGAGCCAGGCTGAGAGAGCCACAACATCTGGCCGGTTGTCTCCACTCGATCCTAATGTCACAAAAATAAAATAATAAATGCATTAAATAATAAAAATGATCAAAAGTTTTGGCATTCATTTACCAGAAGCGAACTCAATGAAATCAAATAAATTAAGCCCCTGGCCGACCAGCAGCCAAACACAATTTGAAACCAACCTAATTGATTTGCCAATAAAATTTCAAAAAAAAAAAAAAACAGGCAAAAAGCAGCGACCACAGAAAAGGACTCTCCACATGAAAGGCAACTCATAGCCTGTAATTTGTAACCGGCCAACTGCAAGAGCCAAAGTAATTGACGCCAACACACACATACACACCCATATGGGAGTGTATTCCGTACCCACACATATGTACATTAATTACCAGAAAGTAAAGGAACCAAAACCGTCGAAAAGGTGGAGCAGGAAATGGGTCTCTGGTAGCAGCCAGAAAACAGGATGACGACACTGACGACAAGCCAAAAACTATTTGCCTCAAACGAAGCGAAACTAATGTGCAACCTCCAGTGAAAATGTCATTCGTGTGAAATTATTGTGCCACATATAAGTAGTACCATAGATTTTGCAGTTTTTACTCGATTAGAGACACCGCATTGGTTAGGTTTTAAGAGTCTAGAATTTGGATCGAAAGGAGAAGCTAATATCCATACCAATAGCAAGTATGAGTTTCATTACAGATGCCACACAACGATTACCATAAAATTAATCTTTAAATTAAAACTAAAGTCTCTATCTTTTTTTATGTAAGCAATTATATTGAGTATTATTTTTTATTTCGTTGGTACTGCATTGCTGCAAAGCCCGCAAAAGTTGACCACCCAATGCCTTCGCCGATGCCCCGCAGCGCGAATTGCAATCATATTAAAAGCAGAGCCTGGCCCAAAACATTTGATGCCAAAACAGCGAGAACACGCTGACAGGAACTCAGCGTCAGAGAGGGGAACATGTGGCATGTGGCGCGAACAGGCGAAATATCTGCGATCCCCTCGACCTAAACTAATCATGGCTACCCATCAAGTGCGCGGTGGCCACAACGAGCTTGCACAAAAAAAAAAATGTAGAAACTAACGAAAACCGTAACACTTTGCCAGGCATTTGCATTTCCCCTGGATTCCGGCAGCAGGATGGGGCAGTGGAAGAATGGCAGGATAAAAAGAAAGAAGGGGAGCCTGGCTCAAAGTGAATTCTGCCAAAATGCTAATTTCCTGGCTGAAAAACTTTTTTGGTCATTTGCTTTATTAACGACAAAAGATGCAGGAAAAGGCGCAATGAGCTTTAACCCCTTTAAGATATTGGTTTAAACAAAATAATATTTAAAAGTAAACTTATTTTCTAAAGTTTAAATAAAGTAAATAGAAATTCGTAATCAAGGTTACATTGTGTATTTCTTTAAGACTTCTTAGGGAATCATTTTGATTATGAAAGCAATATCAACATTCTATTCAAATCGGTTGGAATTTTTTATAAAACAATTAATTCATTATATCTTAAATTCTCCCAAAGGGTTAACCTGAATTCCCCAAGTTTGAATTTAATATCCAAGATGCAGGATGTGGCACTAAGTGCACTCCCCTTGCAGCTGGAGCTTTGCATAACTCATTAATGGCCAAAGTTTCTGCTGCTGACACTATCTCAGATGGAAATAGAGATGGAGAAGGAGATAAAGACCCCCGTCTGGCCACAAAAGGACCCGTACCGAATTCCAAAACCAACACCAAAAACGAAAAGATGGTGAGACATCTCGACTTACGCCAGAAGGGTCAAGTGACGCATTTATCAGGCCAGGATTGCACAATATGCTCCCATAAGGCAATCCCCCATCAGCAGCACCATCATCACCATAGTCATCATTATTATCGTTACGATCATGGGCTGCATGTACGCAACAAAAATTAATTGTGCCCCCATGTGCAACAGGAAGCCAGCCCGTAACGGATCCAAATCCTTGCCGCAAATGAGAAACTCGGACAATCGCATTCACACATTCTCGGCCAGAGACAATTGAAACTTTTTGCTAGAGGATGAGAATGGGAACGATGTCGACGGAGGACAATTCTGGTCTCATTCACATTTGAGGACATGAGCTTTTCTTCTTGGCCAGCCAGCTTGACATGCGTTGGCAGGTCCCATACCCAGTTTCTTTTGGCCCATTCTTATGTGCCAAAGCATGTGTTTTAGTACACTTGAGAAAAATATTATTATTTCTATGAATTTTTTAAATAATAAAAGAATAAAATTATAAAGTATATAATTGTCTAATACTTAAAATTAATAAACAATTAATAATTCAAAAGAAGTCCTTTTTAATAAAATTCTAGTCTAAGTGCTTTGGCCAAGTTGTTGGCCTGCTTGTGGTCGGTTAGCCTTCCAGCCATATACCCATCCATTCATTCATTTTGACATGGCAGCTGCCTGGTCAGCACCCTCGATCCCGCCACCTTCCACCCTTGCTGTTGCATTCAAGGAACCCTTGTTGTGTTCACCCTGCCTGCGGTTTTGTACATGGCAGCATGATTCGCAGGCCCGGCCAAAATGCAACAGCTAACAGATTCGACACGCCGGTGGGAGTTCACATAAGTGCAGCTGAGTGGCAAGACAAAGCTCCGGCTACAACCGGAGTCGCAGCTGAAGTCCTTGCCGGAGTCAGAGTCGGAGTCACAGTCATAGACGGAGACGGTGACGGAGCCGTTGCCGTAGCCGTAGCTGTTGCAGCAATCGGAGTCAGTTGAGTGCCTTTGTTGCGGTTCATTCAGTTGTATATATGTATATACGGAGGACTTGGCCCGGATCGGCTCACAGTCCGGCCCGGCCAAATGTCGTTATCGTGGCTTCTTTTGCTGCTTTTCTGCTGTTCTGTCGCCTCATCGGGACTGTCGCATTCTTCAATGTCGCCTTTTAGTAGCGTCATGGGCTTCATACTTTGTATTGAAAAGTTTTCGCGCGCGACTGACAGCCAGCTGAATGCCAGCCAGGAAAAGGAAAGAAAGGCAATGGCAAAGGAAAAGGCGGTCCTTTCTTCCCTCCCATACAATGCATATATATTTTTCGACTTGGGGAAGGGGGATACATGGCATATCCCAATGAGCAAGATTCGGTTTAAAAAAGATAGTTTGATAGATTTTATATTTAGTATAACAAACTTTGTTGATTTTTGAACTTCTGATTTTATTCTTCAATACTATTATTAAATACACTTTTTAAATATTTTTTAAAGCTTATTTTAATAATAATTTGTATATCATAAAATTATATATTATAAGAAAGCATCTTCTAATTTAAAAGAAAAAAGTTCTCTGGGTTACATTTTTGTTGCCAACGTCCATTGCAGTCCATGTGTTTCTTTCCCGCTCTTTTGGCCTGCTCATGTGTGTGTGTTTGTGTGCGAATGTATGTGTGCATTGTCCTGGTTGCCATTGTTTAATGGTCACATTAAAAATGCCTCATTGTTGGCTCTGTAGTCGTTGTCAACTTCTGACCGCGCCCTTTTCACAATATTTTCCACTGCATTTTCCCTCGTGCCCATCGCCCTTTTGCTTTCTTTCCCACCCCCCTGCCCATCGCTACCCATTCCTTTTCCATTTTCCTGCAGTTTTCGTCGTCTTCGGCCACGGCGCAGAAAAGTATGCAATACAAAATGCACGCCAGCGGCATTGGACTTTTTAGTGGCTTGAATTGCACTTTCTGTTTACTCGCCTCTTGGAGTGTATGCTTCTATGGGCTGGTGTGTGTGTGTGTGGGTATGATGGTGCACGTGAGTACATTAGCTGAAATTTTAAGGTAAGCACCAGTGTGTGCACTCCACGGCTACCATTGCCGCTGCAACTGCCGCTGCCGCACAGTGGGCATTTACAGCAAACAAAACATCCTTTGTGGCCATCGACTTTTCGTTGATTCTGCCGCAGCTGCCGCAGCATCAGAGTCCTTCATGTGAGCACAATTCCGAATGGCAACAAGGTGCTGCAGCCTGCACTTTAAGCCGCCCAGCAACCGCCCCTTTTTGTGGCGCCCTCCCAGGTGTATTGAAGGACCTTATTAGAGCAGATGCCTTTCTCTATTTTCAAACTGGACAGTGATGGCAAGAGTCTGTATGTAATAGAAATATGAGAGAAAATATTATTCTTAGCTTAGTTTATTTTTTGCTTATTAAATCAAATTTCAGACCCCTTATATTTTTTATAAAAAGTCTTAGAAAAATAATGTTTAAAGGCCCTGTCCTAAGCACACCCCATTCTGCAGTATACTTTGATCCGAGTCTGCAAGGGGGAGTTAATAAGAGGTAGAATTGGCAACAAAAAAAGGAGCTTATTTGAGTTGTTAACTGATGTGGGCGTGGCTTCTCTCTGGGCTCCTCTAATAGTTTGTTGTTTGCCTGGCTCTGTGAGTCTGTGTGTGTGGTGGTTATAGAGTCTGTTGGGATAAATTAGATAATTGAAAATGGAACGAGAAATAATGATGCTGCTGATCGAAGCTAAGTAAGCTTAAAAGTTTACCTCTGCAGGGCAATCCGAAAATTGCGATGAAATTGGCAATAATGAAAAATTCCAATCTTATCAAACGGAGATAAGCCATCACTCCCCCCACCCACTGTAATCACTAAAAGCTGATGATTCAATTTCGAGGGCATTGCTTAAGTTGCCGAAACAATTAAACCGAAATATGGATGGAAATCCACAAATCACGCAGCCAGCCGGAAATGGCATTAAAATAATACATTAACTTCACCAAACGTTGCGTCGCCCACACAAAAATGTGATTAATTTAAAAGAAATGCGAGGGCGGCTAGAAAGTGGGTGGGGTTTGGCCAAAAAAGAAAACGGTAAAGGAAAAAGGGACTCAGAAAGTTATTAACAGAACGTCGCCGTCTAATACAAATCACGAGTAATAGCATTGTAATAAAAACAAATTTCCACAAACGTTTGGCCTAATTGTATGATGGATAAAATGGTTGAATTGCCACCCGCTACCCTACCCCCTCCCCTTACCATCATTTGCTGGCCAAAAGAATTTTCCATCGGTGCTATGGGTGCGGACTTTCTGCGGGGACTGTTGCTGCTCGTGTGACCAGCGTGACACAGAAAATTTCACAGCACTGCCAAAAGCAGCGAAAAATCCCCCTCACAAATTGTTTCGGCCAAGGAGTTGCATGTGAGTGGCGCATAAGCAGTACCGCCCTCTGCTCCCCGCCTCGACCTCCACCCCCCACCAACCCCTCTCCGCCCACTGGGATGGTTGAAGTTGACTTTGACGTTGCTGCTGACTAAGGCGACGACAAAACACACGAACATAAGGCCAACAGCCACACAAGCACTACGACGACAATATAAACACGATAAGCAAAAAACTGCGATTTCCCCTCGGGGAAACTCCCCCTCTAACAGCGGACTAAAGGGGGGATTGGGGTTTCAAGGGGGAGGCATGTTAGTAAAATCAGTTACTGTGGTGCAGTCGTTGGATTGAAGATTGCAACACAGGTATTTAAAAAGGAAATTCATTTGACAAATGTGGGTGGCAGGCACATATTTCTTAAAGAGTATGGCTTATAATAAATTGGGTTTTTCAAAAAAAGGTGAAAGCTATTAAAGGGTTATCTGATTAAATAAATTTATTAAAACATGGCTTACAAGAAGGCAGATTATAAGACCCTTTAAAATCATCAACCTCTTTAAGTTTCTTTATTTAAAAACTACCTCTTACTTTTCCACCTTGGTTTTCCCCATCCCTTCCCCTAATTAATAAAATAACATAAAGCCGCAGGCAACGCACTGAACTATTAAAACCATCAACGTATGACCACAGTGCCACTAGACGGCTGCCACTTTGCCAGCAGGGGGCTAAACCGCTGCCGGTCTTGGCTCAGACTCTGATAACGTAGTAAATATTTCCCTAGCCTGCGGCGGCCACTAACCTGGCCAAGTGAAAAAAATCAGTTTAAAGGCTGCAGATCCTAGCGGGTTTAAGACAAAATCCCACAATCAATCGGTCAAAGACAGGAATCTCTCGGCTACCGTCTGCACATAATAATTATAGTCCTGCCTGGTAGTGGCCAAGAACCCCCCTGGTGCAATGAGGTAGGTGGTAGGTGAAAAAGCCAAATGGTTAAGAGAACCTAACAAATGGCCCCTCTAGGTCCCCGGATCCTGGTTTTTTCTCGTAGGTTTGTGTGTGAGTGTACTCTGACTCGGCTTGCGGTTTTCCTAAGCAGGGCACAATTAGTGGTGGAGTTGGGTTTGGGGGGCAGAAGTGCTGTGCCCGGAGCACGCCAGCATTAGCCCCATAAGTCAGTCACTCACAAACACCAACACACCAACACACACACACACGTGGAGTGTGCAAGTGAACGTGTAATTCGATTCACGGAGTAATGGGGGAGAAAGAGAAAGGCACGACTCTCTAAGAAAATTGGCTGCGTCGCCGAGGAAATTTAGAGTGGACAAAAGCAGCAGCAGCAGTAGCAGTAACAGCAAAAAAGCAGCAGAAAAGCAAAGTACCAGCAGGCAGCTGGCAGCGGCAACGGCGGCACATGAAACACAATTCAAAAACACTTTGACCGGCAAAGTTGCCACACGGAATTTCTTCTTGTGCATCGGAAAAGCGAAGCGGGAAAGTAAGCAAAAGTTTCGCACTTTTGTTTCGCCAACAACTTTTGTTGCGAGGAGCCACGGCGAAGGAAGAAAGCCAACCGAGATGTTTTAATAAACTTGCCATCGAGTTCATTAAATTTGATTCAAGTAAATGTGTTTGTCTTGACGTCCCCCACTTATTGTTTTTGTTCCGGAAAAACGTTAGTGTCTTGCCACAGCCCCCACCACCACTAAACCTACCAAAAAAAAATACAATCGCCTCCTGGAATACAAGTGGAGACAATTGCGGCTGATTGATAGGCAATTAGTAAAAGTGGATGCTGCCGTTTTTGTTGCAACTGTGGAGAGCAACAACTGTTTGTGCATAAATAACCCGAAGCAACAACCGCCGGACCAAAGTGTCATTAACCTAATTGCCGCAAAGGAAGCCACCATACCTTCCACCCAAAAAAAGGAAGCAAACATCCACGGCCATAAATACGACGCTCCAAAGAAACAACGTGCAACGTGTTGCAATAAAAACAAATTTACATAAAACAGGTAAAACCAAAATCCGGCAAACGCCACCCCGAAGAGTGGTATAAAAAATGAAAATAAAATGCAGAGACAGGACCCGCGAGGCAAAAATTCTCCCATTGCCTACAAATATTTATTTTTTGTTGCAATTGCAAAATACACGAAATTCCAATGCAGTGAAAAGGACTTGCCCTCTGAATGGTGTATGCAAGTGTTCTGTCTGCTCGGGTAGCTGTGTGTGAGTGTGTGTTTGCCTGGGTGTAGAGTGGTCAAAGACACAGGAGACCAACGCCACTTAAGCCAGGAGTCGTCGGCCTGTTTCCTGCCGTCTGCAATATTTCGGTTCTTGCCATTTATTCCACTGAAGGCAAATATGATTTTTTTTAATAAAAATTCCATTACATTCTTAAAAAAAGTTAAGGGGAATTAAGAAGAAATAAATTAAAGAAATTATATAATTTAGGTTCTCTAGCAAGAAAGCTTTAAAGATTTAGATCCTGTCACCGCACTCAGCACTTAGACTCTCTATCAATGTCCAATATAGTTATCTTGATTTTCGAGGCACACTTTTTTCCATGTGTGGCTTGCAGAAAGCATGGCAAAGCAGGGCAAACAATACGCGATATTTTCGGCCTCTCCAGCCAACAGCAACTGTGAACTCTGAACCCTCAACTACCCGGCCGACCCCTCGGCCCGCAGAAGTGTGAATGTTTGTAGTGCCCACGCCGAAATGGTTGAGTGGGGCTCTTTGGTCTGTTTACTGGGACAAAGGCAGTGGCAAGAGCTCGTCGGACAGCCCATTGAGTCGCTCTGCGGATTGGACTTCAAGGGGTGGGCGTTGCGCCGTTGGAGACGGACTGAAGAGGGCCTCTTGTGAGCTCCTGGGGCCAGAGGGAGCATTGGACACATTGCATCGAGAGGTCCTGCCATATCGATTGTACATACATACATAGTGTGGGTGCACCAGACACGGTTAACAGTTGATATTTCTAAGTGCAGTGCTCGAAATGTACAAGGACCAGAACATATGTTTGATGCTAAAGTATTACGAATGTGCCAATTAGGGTGAGATATCAATAAGGCTATAAAATCAATTATATTGGCCATCACATATCAATTGTGTTTCAGTTATCATCATAAATTGATAGCATAGTTGGGCTATGGGCTAATGAGGATATATGAGAGGTTACTACTGATAATATGACATTAATAATTTCCTATCTTTCAAGTAAACGGTTATCCTTCATCAAGTTAGAAGGAGATTAATTAATAAATGAAATCATTTATTAAATTTAATATTTTTGATTTCAGCTAAGCCGGCAACCTAGTTCTCCGGCGGACCAGCAGCAACTACGGGCCATAATAAAAATCTGAAGGAGTTGTGCCCCTCGAAGGCACTTTAAGTTTCTTGTATTGCGTCGACGCGACGCTGCCCTTAGCGATTCCTTTGACCACAACAAACCCAACACGCAAGGTGAGCCAGGTGGGCCAGGCTAAGGAGAACGCCTTAAGAGAAAGTTGACGTGACTTCGCGAAACACATCAGTACAGAAACAGCAAAGCCAACACCATCGCCAAGGAGAATGTCCAACGAAGAGAACGACGAGTACATGGGCAGCTTGGGCCAGGCCCAGACCGCCGAGGATGATGTAAATGAGGAAGGCGGAGGCGGTGGGGGGGCTGTTGGCAATAACGAGTCCGGACTGGGCGGCCAAACAATGCCACAAATTAGTCCGAACGCACCGCTCGAGGGAAACGTTTCGCCGACACCGACGCAGACCCACTTCGAAGATAATCCACATCACAGTGGCATCAACGGTGGCACCAGCAACAAGCAAGGCGGCAACATCAACGGAAACGGGAACGGCCACGGCAACGGCAACGGAACGGAGCCAAACAGTAACCGCAACAGTCCGGTGAAGAGCCCCAAGCGACCAATCTCGTCCAGCTTTCGGATTCAGAACACGCCCTATGATGAGGACGAGGACTTAGCAGCCGGCGATCAGGTGGCGGTGGCAGGTGAGGCAATCGCCGGTCGCCAGGTGCCGGATTATTGGCAGCAGCGCAACGGAACGGCTGCCAGTGGAACAGGTGGGGCCGCCAGTGGCCGACAGAGTAGGGCCATCAGTCCCAGCTATTTGGACAACATGAGCGAGAACTCCGAACAGCCGCCGGTGGTGCCGCTGGTGCGCTCCAAATCTCGTCCGGAAATCTCGAGTGCAGCCGCCTCCCGTTACTCGAATCTGTCCTACTGGAAGGCACGCCGTGTGGTCTTCTACCGGAACGGGGATCCCTTCTTTCCGGGCGTCGAGCTACGTTATCGCCCCGGACGGGATGTCACCTCGCTGGACAACCTGCTGGACAAAATATCACCGAAAATGGATCTGCCCCGAGGTGCCCGCTACGTGTTCTCCATGGACGGTGACCGGAAGTATCATCTGGACGAACTGGAGGATGGTGCCTTCTATGTGGTCTCCTCGTTCAAGGCCTTCAAGGTGAGTCGCCCCCCCGCTTGCATGCATTTTCTGCATTTTCCATAATTTTCAACTTTAAGTGAAAGTTTTCACGTCAGCGCAAAATCAATATAAATTTGAATATTTTGGTATAATTTAAGTGAATGAGTGCAGAAGTGTAGTGTGTGTGTATAACATACATTAAACTATATACGAGGCGTTTTTGGACTTCTTTTTTTTTTGGCTTAGTTTTGCGGTCAGCGTCCCACTCCAAAACAGCAAATCCTACAAGAAATGGGAGAGAAAACTTGGTCACTTGGCCTAAAAATCAAAAGGCGGTGTTCGCCTTTTGGCTTCTTTGTTTTGCTCCCTCTTCCTAGGGAGCGGGCGTCCTTGGGGGTCGGTGGGTGTTTGGGCGGTGGGGTCTTTAAGGTGGTGGCGTCGCATTTTTGCATGCAAGCACTTTCGTTTTCTCTCGCTCTATGTGAGTGAGTTGTGGGAGTTCGAGGGCTAGAAAACAATGCCAACAATTAGCACGCCTGTGTCCTGGGACGAGGACGAGGGCAACTCGAGAACTAGGTCTCAGCTTTTAATGGTCGGGCGAGAGTTGGAGGGCTTTAAGAGAAAGAGCCGACCCTTCTAAAGAGCAATATATGTAGCTCGGGTAAAGACCCTAAGCTCTTCAAATGAAATCAGCTGACAGCCTATCGATATGTTGTGGCAGCTACTATCGGAGTTTTTGAAGGCCTAGGGTCCTTTGCCTTCCTATTTGGGCGTCATTACAAAAAATATGAAAAAAGGCAAACCATTTTGAAGACAAAAAATTTAGGGCTTTCCAACTAAATTCAGATTAATAATGGAGAAAATATACTCTTTGCAGGAAGACCTAATGATCTTATGACCCAGAATATTAAAAAAAAAATCTAAAATATATTTATTTTGCCAGATTTTAATGAAAAATGGTTGAGAATGGATCCACAAATCGTTTAAGCTATTCCGATCAAAAGAATTTTCAAATTCTGAGGGCCATAGCTCTGCCAATTTGTGTCCGATCAGGAAATAGAGTACCATTTTGGAAACAGCAGACCCAGAAGCGACTTTCCTCATTTAAAACATTGCTTGAATATTATTTTGAAAATTTTTGAATTTTTCCTAGGGGTCTACCCATAAAATTGTCGATTTCCCCATTTCCCCACTTTTGCTCCTTCCGATGGCCATAGCTCTGCCAATTGTATCCGATCAGGAAATAAAGTACCATTTTGGAATCAGGCGACCCAGAAGCGATTTTCCTCATTCAAAACATTGCTAAAATATGATTTTGAAAATTTTGGGATTTTTTCCTAGGGGTCTGTCTACCCATAAAATTGTGAATTTTCTCCATTTCCCCATTTTGCTCCTTCCGATGGCCATAGCTCTGCCAATTTGTATCCGATCTGGAAATAAAGTACCATTTTGGAATCAGCAGACCCAGAAGCGACTTTCCTCGTTCAAAACATTGCTTGAATATGATTTTGAAAATTTTCGAATTTTTTCCTAGGGGTCTACCCATAAAATTGTGAATTTTCTCGATTTCCCCATTTTGCTCCTTCCGATGGCCATAGCTCTGCCAATTGTATCCGATCAGGAAATAAAGTACCATTTTGGAATCAGGCGACCCAGAAGCGATTTTCCTCATTCAAAACATTGCTTGAATTTGATTTTGAAAATTTTGGAATTTTTCCTAGGGGTCTACCCATAAAATTGTGAATTTTCTCGATTTCCCCATTTTGCTCCTTCCGATGGCCATAGCTCTGCCAATTTGTATCCGATCTGGAAATAAAGTACCATTTTGGAATCAGCAGACCCAGAAGCGACTTTCCTCGTTCAAAACATTGCTTAAATATGATTTTGAAAATTTTGGAATTTTTCCTAGGGGTCTACCCATAAAATTGTGAATTTTCTCGATTTCCCCATTTTGCTCCTTCCGATGGCCATAGCTCTGCCAATTGTATCCGATCAGGAAATAAAGTACCATTTTGGAATCAGGCGACCCAGAAGCGATTTTCCTCATTCAAAACATTGCTAAAATATGATTTTGAAAATTTTGGGATTTTTTCCTAGGGGTCTGTCTACCCATAAAATTGTGAATTTTCTCCATTTCCCCATTTTGCTCCTTCCGATGGCCATAGCTCTGCCAATTTGTATCCGATCTGGAAATAAAGTACCATTTTGGAATCAGCAGACCCAGAAGCGACTTTCCTCGTTCAAAACATTGCTTGAATATGATTTTGAAAATTTTCGAATTTTTTCCTAGGGGTCTACCCATAAAATTGTGAATTTTCTCGATTTCCCCATTTTGCTCCTTCCGATGGCCATAGCTCTGCCAATTGTATCCGATCAGGAAATAAAGTACCATTTTGGAATCAGGCGACCCAGAAGCGATTTTCCTCATTCAAAACATTGCTTGAATTTGATTTTGAAAATTTTGGAATTTTTCCTAGGGGTCTACCCATAAAATTGTGAATTTTCTCGATTTCCCCATTTTGCTCCTTCCGATGGCCATAGCTCTGCCAATTTGTATCCGATCTGGAAATAAAGTACCATTTTGGAATCAGCAGACCCAGAAGCGACTTTCCTCGTTCAAAACATTGCTTAAATATGATTTTGAAAATTTTGGAATTTTTCCTAGGGGTCTACCCATAAAATTGTCGATTTCCCCATTTCCCCACTTTTGCTCCTTCCGATGGCCATAGCTCTGCCAATTGTATCCGATCAGGAAATAAAGTACCATTTTGGAATCAGGCGACCCAGAAGCGATTTTCCTCATTCAAAACATTGCTAAAATATGATTTTGAAAATTTTGGGATTTTTTCCTAGGGGTCTGTCTACCCATAAAATTGTGAATTTTCTCCATTTCCCCATTTTGCTCCTTCCGATGGCCATAGCTCTGCCAATTTGTATCCGATCTGGAAATAAAGTACCATTTTGGAATCAGCAGACCCAGAAGCGACTTTCCTCGTTCAAAACATTGCTTGAATATGATTTTGAAAATTTTCGAATTTTTTCCTAGGGGTCTACCCATAAAATTGTGAATTTTCTTGATTTCCCCATTTTGCTCCTTCCGATGGCCATAGCTCTGCCAATTGTATCCGATCAGGAAATAAAGTACCATTTTGGAATCAGGCGACCCAGAAGCGATTTTCCTCATTCAAAACATTGCTAAAATATGATTTTGAAAATTTTGGAATTTTTCCTAGGGGTCTACCCATAAAATTGTATATTTTCCCCATTTCCCCACTTTTGCTCCTTCCGATGGCCATAGCTCTGCCAATTTGCATCCGATCTGGAAATAAAGTACCATTTTGGAATCAGGAGACCCAGAAGCGACTTTCCTCGTTCAAAACATTGCTTGAATATGATTTTGAAAATTTTTGAATTTTTCCTAGGGGTCTACCCATAAAATTGTCGATTTCCCCATTTCCCCACTTTTGCTCCTTCCGATGGCCATAGCTCTGCCAATTGTATCCGATCAGGAAATAAAGTACCATTTTGGAATCAGGCGACCCAGAAGCGATTTTCCTCATTCAAAACATTGCTAAAATATGATTTTGCAAATTTTTGAATTTTTCCTAGGGGTCTACCCATAAAATTGTCGATTTCCCCATTTCCCCACTTTTTCTATCCATAAAATTGTGGATTTTCTCGATTTCCCCATTTTGCTCCTTCCGATGGCCATAGCTCTGCCAATTTGTATCCGATCAGGAAATAAAGTACCATTTTGGAATCAGCAGACCCAGAAGCGACTTTCCTCGTTCAAAACATTGCTTAAATATGATTTTGAAAATTTTCGAATTTTTTCCTAGGGGTCTATCCATAAAATTGTGAATTTTCTCGATTTCCCCATTTTGCTCCTTCCGATGGCCATAGCTCTGCCAATTAGTATCCGATCTGGAAATAAAGTACCATTTTGGAATCAGCAGACCCAGAAGCGACTTTCCTCGTTCAAAACATTGCTTGAATTTGATTTTGAAAATTTTGGAATTTTTCCTAGGGGTCTACCCATAAAATTGTGAATTTTCTCGATTTCCCCATTTTGCTCCTTCCGATGGCCATAGCTCTGCCAATTAGTATCCGATCTGGAAATAAAGTACCATTTTGGAATCAGCAGACCCAGAAGCGACTTTCCTCGTTCAAAACATTGCTTAAATATGATTTTGAAAATTTTGGAATTTTTCCTAGGGGTCTACCCATAAAATTGTGAATTTTCTCCATTTCCCCATTTGGCTCCTTCCGATGGCCATAGCTCTGCCAATTTGTATCCGATCTGGAAATAAAGTACCATTTTGGAATCAGCAGACCCAGAAGCGACTTTCCTCGTTCAAAACATTGCTTAAATATGATTTTGAAAATTTTCGAATTTTTTCCTAGGGGTCTATCCATAAAATTGTGGATTTTCTCCATTTCCCCACTTTTGCTCCTTCCGATGGTCATAGCTCTGCCAATTTGTATCCGATCAGGAAATAAAGTACCATTTTGGAATGAGGAGACCCAGAAGCGACTTTCCTCGTTCAAAACATTGCTTGAATTTGATTTTGAAAATTTTGGAATTTTTCCTAGGGGTCTACCCATAAAATTGTGAATTTTCTCGATTTCCCCATTTTGCTCCTTCCGATGGCCATAGCTCTGCCAATTAGTATCCGATCTGGAAATAAAGTACCATTTTGGAATCAGCAGACCCAGAAGCGACTTTCCTCGTTCAAAACATTGCTTAAATATGATTTTGAAAATTTTGGAATTTTTCCTAGGGGTCTACCCATAAAATTGTGAATTTTCTCCATTTCCCCATTTGGCTCCTTCCGATGGCCATAGCTCTGCCAATTTGTATCCGATCTGGAAATAAAGTACCATTTTGGAATCAGCAGACCCAGAAGCGACTTTCCTCGTTCAAAACATTGCTTAAATATGATTTTGAAAATTTTGGAATTTTTCCTAGGGGTCTACCCATAAAATTGTGAATTTTCTCGATTTCCCCATTTTGCTCCTTCCGATGGCCATAGCTCTGC